AGGGATTAAGAGTTCAGGGTGTGAGAAAATAATCACCAAGAATTTAAGTCTGAGTAGTTTGAAAGAGGGACAGTGAGTCAGAGCTAAGGTCATTTACAAATGAAGGGGAGGGATAGTGGTGGGTTTGATTGATAGATGGCAGCTACAGGAGTTTCAGGGTAATGTTGGGTGGATATTTTAAAAAGAGAGAGGGAGAATGATCTGGAATGATAATAAGGAGGAAGAAGGACACTTATTTTACCTCTAGGCCCAGTGGTTTCTTCCAGGGCTACATGAGGAAAAGCAGCCACTCTGAGAAGATCACAGGGAAAGCAGTGTCTTTGGAGAAGAACCAGGCTTCGTGTTAGAATAAGAAGAAAGAGACATACAGAGAATTGTTGAAGATGTGAGGATTTGGCTGCTAACAGATTGTTAATTTCAGAAGGCACAGTGAAAGAACCTCTTTCCAGAATTAAGATGGGATGGGAGATGGCGGTAAAACAGAGTGTACAAGAGTTATAAACCTTAGTGTGTGAAGGCAGAGTGTAACCTGGGGGTGGTAGCTTCTTGTGATTCCCAATTTAAACAGGAATCAGGGATGAAGGGAATAATGACTTTGGTTTTGGTAGACCAGAGGCAGATAGGGGTGGTGAGGCTGTGAAAGTTTCAAGGATAAGGAGGTATTTTGAGACCTCTCTTTTGAGTTCTACAGAAGAAGGGTCAAGTTTTACTTGAGCTTGCATGCCTGTGAAACACGTGAGGATACAGATGAACTCAGGTATGCAGTTGAGGTCTCCCATTTGATCTCTTGTCAAGTGGAAGATAAGAGGTCTGGCTATTTGGTGTTACTATTGTATAATATACACACAGAAAAATGTGCAAATCAGTGTTAAGCTTGGTGAATTTTCACTAAATGAAAATTTAGTAACTGGCCCCTACATCAAGAAGCAGAATATTACTAGAACCCAAGAAATAACTCCCTCAGGGGAACCATTATCCTAACTTTTTTTTTTTTTTTTAAATTTACATCCAAGTTAGTTAGCATATAGTGCAACAATGATTTCAGAGGTAGATTCCTTAATGCCCCTTACCCATTTAGCCCATCCCCCCTCCCACAACCCCTCCAGCAATCCTCTGTTTGTTCTCCATATGTAAGAGTCTCTTATGTTTTGTCCCCCTCCCTGTTTTTATATTATTTTTGCTTCCCTTCCCTTGGGTTCATCTGTTCTGTGTCTTAAAGTCCTCATATGAGTGAAGTCATATGATTTTTGTCTTTCTCTGACTAATTTTGCTTAGCATAATACCCTGTAGTTCCATCCACGTAGTTGCAAATGGCAAGATTTCATTCTTTTTGATTGCCGAGTAATACTCCATTGTATATATATACCACGCCTTTTTTATCCATTCATCCATCGATGGACATTGGGCTCTTTCCATACTTTCGCTATTGTTGATAGTGCTGCTATAAACATTGGAGTGCATGTGCCCCTTCAAAACAGCATACCTGTACCCCTTGGATAAATACCTAGTAGTGCGATTGCTGAATCATAGGGTAGTTCTATTTTTAGTTTTTTGAGGAACCTCCATACTGTTTTCCAGAGTGCATTATCCTAACTTTTAACACAATCAATTAGTTTTGCCTGTTTTTGAAGTGTATGCAAATGTAGTTACAGAGCATGTACTCTTTCATCTGCCTTCTTTTCCCCAACATTGTGACACATATAATTAGTTTTCTTATTGTCATTGTTGTATAGAACTCCATGTGGTATATTTATCCATTCTACTCTTGATGAACATTTGGTTTGTTTCCAGTTTTTAACTGTTTACAAAAACTGCTGCTCTGAGAATTCCTAACTAAGCACATCTTTCAGAAAACGTATATCCACATTTCTCTAGGGTATATTTTTATGAGTGGAATTGTTGGTCTGTGGAAGATGCATTTGTTCAAGTTCAGAAGATATTGTCAAAGAGTTTTCCAAGATATTGTACCAATTTATATCCATACCAGCTCTTATGAATATTCTGTTTGCTCCATATCTTTTTTCAACACTTGGGATTTTTGTTTTTCATTCTAGCCACACTTGCAAGTGTGTGTGTGTGTGTGTGTGTGTGTGTGTGTGTGTGTGTGTGTTGAACACCTTTCATACGTTAGGTTTTTCATTTGGGTAACTGTTATGCTTGTTTTTCCTATTGGATTATCTGCCTTTTTCTTACTAATTTGAGTTCTGTATATGAGACTTCTGTTAGATATATGAAATGCAAATATCATCTCCCACCCTTTGGCTTTGTCTTTTCATTCTCTTAGTGGTAACTTGATGAACAGAAGTTCTTCCCTTCCCCCCATCCCCAAACCCCACCAGCTTTATTGAAGTGTGATTGACAAATAAAAGGTGTATGTATTTAAGGTATCAATATTTTGATATGCCACAATCAAGCTAATTAATATATCCATTACCTCACTTAGTTATCTTTGTGTGTGTGTGTGTGGTGAGAGCACTTAAGAGCTACTCTCTCAGCAGATTTCAAATATACATTTTCAACTGTAGTTACCATGCTGTATGTACATTAGATCCCCAGGACTTATCTTGTGACTGAAAATGTACATCTTTTGACCAACATCTCCCCATTGCCCCCACCTCCGTAGCCCCTGGATACCATCATTTTACTCTCTGTTAACTATGAGTTTGACTTTTTAAGCCTTTACATATAAGTGAAATATTGGAGTATTTATCTTTCTGTGCCTGATTTATTTCACCTAGCATAATGTCCTCCAGGTTCACCCATTTTGTCACAAATGGCAGGATTGCCTTTTTAAGGCTGAATAGTATTTCATTGTGCACTGCATTTTCTTTATTCATTCATTTGTTGACAAACAGAAGTTCTTAATTTAATGAAGTCCAATTTATTTTTTTAATTGCTTTATGAACAGTGCTTTTGTGCTGCTTGTTTAAGAAACCTTTGCCTACTCTAAGGTTATGAATGTATTCTCTTATGTTTTTCTCCAAATGCTTTTTGTTTTACCTTTTTCACTTAAATCTAAGATCCAACTGGAACTGATTTTTGCATGTGGTATGAACTACTAGGTCATGGTTCTCCATATGTATGTGTGTGTGTGTATATATATATATATATATATATATATATATATGGAATGAAACAGGGTGGCCAGAAAAATATTATAATTATATAATATAACATATATATAATTATATAATTATATAATATTATATATGTTGTATTATTTAATATATATATATTTTTCCTGGCCACCCTGTTTCATTCCATTGATTCTTTTTGGCCCTTTTTGATAATACACACTGGCTTAACTACTATAATGTTTGTTAAATTTTCTAGTAAACCTTGATGTTTAGAAGTTCAAGTCCTGTAGCTCTGTTGTTCTTCAAGATTGCTTGAGTATTCTTGATAGTCAAATCCCTCTTGATTCCTTTCAACCTTTTAAAAATTAATTTTAACTAGGGAGTTGTTTTGAATTTTTGTAAAAATTTCACCTCCCCAATTCTCTGTAATTTGATGTAACATCGTTTTATTTGTGATAATTTTCTATCTTAATTTACTAAGTAAACAATGAATCAATACAAAAGAAAACATGTCTATTTAAATTTACTTTCCTTCATTTTGCTTCACAAATAAGTATAATGTAACAAGATAAAAATAAAAATACAGAAATAAAATAAGGATAAGAGTATAATGTAAAACGACAGATAAGATTAATTCAGGCCTGCTTTTTTGTATACAGAGTTAGGGCAGAAACTGTAACTCCCATTTTATTAGAGTCAAAGCAAAGAGGATCAGTTATGAGATTCACAGTATCCATATGTAAAAGCAAACCAGTTACCCTAAAGGAGAGTTTTTCCTAGTCGTAAAAACTGAAGATGTGAATTTTCTCCTTTTTTGGATTTTAAAGGTGATAACATGTGAGATAGCAGTGTTTTGGGTAACATTTGGGACACAATTCCAAAGCCCAATTTATCTGAATGGACAGTTCTATAAAATCAGTAATATGGTACAAATTTTGCATAGTATTTAAAGCCTTATTGCCAGGTACTGTAATAAGTGCTTTTATTTGCATTTTTCATTTAATCATAACCCTTGACTGTAGGTGCTATGGTTATCTGTATTTCACAGATGAAAAAATTAAGGTAAATAACTTGCCTAAGGTTCTACTACAAATAAGTAATAGAATCAAGATTAAGTTTTGGGCAATTATACCTCTATTTCTACTACATGATTATGCTGATAAAAATTAAGTCTCATGCAGGATTTGTGCCTGAATTAGGGGTTTAGGAAATTCAGATAGAGCTAAGATTTTCCTCAAGAAACAGTTTCTAGGTCTACATTCATATAGATGGGTGAAAAAAACAACATTGTATTTTCACAGCAATTTTGCTTGAGCTAAATTTGTTTTGCATGTTCTTTAGCTTCTTTTTTCCCCTTATTTTTACTTAACTAAATCCCAATCTGAATAACTATTGTTGAATGTGATCATTATCTTGAATATTATCACTTTGACTCTTGTTTTATGAGTATTAAGCTTTCAGGGAGCCAATTGGCTTGCCTAAATAGATCGTAAAGAATCAAAATATAAGCAAATTAAATTACTAAACTGCTTTGTACAAAGTCAGTTTTGTAGCATGTCTTTTTATATTTTTGCAGTTTTAAATTATTTTCTGAAATTTTCTTAAGATGCATGATATTTTGGAATTATTTCGTTGAAACTGGGGGAAAGTATTCAGTATGTTTTGCAGCTGGCATTCCTAAAGGCTGAATGAACATTGCAGAGCCAATTTAATTATGTTGTGATATTTATACTTTTGTTATAATTCTTGCATTTGAATACTTGTTTGTGCACATTGTTTTGAAGTGAGCCTACTAATTTATGTTTGAATCTGCCTTAATTTCACAAAGAAGAAGTAACACAATTTTATAGGATTAGTTCTATTCATAGTAATCTAAAAATAAAATATATTACAAATTTTAACATTTTCTATGTTAACTTCCAGGTTGGAGGTCTAGAACAGATGTGGAAAGATGTTCACTTCAGAGAAAGGGGTTGTGGAGGAATGGTTGTCAGAGTTTAAGGTAATATTTACTGTCTCAATATAATAATTATACTCCAAAGAAGTTTTGTCTGGGGTTTAAATCACAGTGGCTTTTTAAAAATATATTTTATTTTACTTTTTGTAATTTTTATTCTTTTTAATGACTGAAAGGCTAAATATCTATGGAAGCAGAAATATGTTCCAACAAATCTTAATAGGGAATTATTTATACATAGTAGTTTTTTCTAGGAAATCAATTCCTTTTTTTCTCCCAAGTGGTTAAAAGATTTTGTTTTCTCCTTTTCACAGCAACACCACAAAGAATGGTTAAAGTTTCTGATTATTAATGTTACCCTTTCTAACCACCATCAAAAATTCAATGTTTAAATGTTTCTCCCAGTTTAGAGGGCAAAGGGAGTGGGCATAATCAACAATGAGGAGAAGATGGAAAGATATTTGCCCACCTTTCTAACAATGGATTCTTCTCTAGCTGGTTAACTTTTGTTTTCTTGTCTTATGAAGTTTTCTCTATAATTGCTAAAATTGTGTTCTTTAACCAGTTAATTACCTTCTCTTTGTCCTCTGGGTCTTGTTACACATAATTACATGAACTTCATGATCATGAACCAGAGGAATGAAGAGTTTTTAATGCAACTATCAATTTTTTGTCTAGCCTAATGAGCCCACCACTTTCTGGGACAGATGTATTGTCTGACAAAGTCAGACTTAATTGGCTTGTTTCAGTGAAGGAGACTGCAACAGGCACTATATGGCCAACTTACCAAACAGAGGAAAAGACAAAATTATTATAGTATTTGGAGGAAGGGTGAAATTCAGATGAAAAATTAAAAAAAAAATTTTTTTTTAATGTTTATTTATTTTTGAGAGAGACAGAGAGAGGGAGAGAGCAGGAACAGGGGAGGAGCAGAGAGAGGGGAGACACAGAATCTGAAACAGGCTCCAGGCTCTTAGCTGTCAGCACGGAGTCTGACACGCGGCTTGAACTCACAAACCGTGAGATCGTGACCTGAGCTGAAGTCGGACATTTAACTCACTGAGCCACCCAGGGGCCCCTAGATGAAATTTAAATGGAGTAGTATTTTGATGGGCTTAACACAAAGCAGAGCTGTGTGTAATGGAGTTAAAATCTGGTATGGACTTCAGAGTGGACCCAGGATCATGTTGTCTTGGAAACTACACAGTTAACATCCATATGGAATGTTGTGTTCAGAAACCCCTTATATGAAGCTCTGCATCTTGACTAGAAATCAAGCCTGCTTCTCTGTTTCAAGGTGACTTAGATCCTTCAGGAAAGAGTGGATGTTTCATTCTTACTGATATATGTTTAAACAGCAAAGTTTTTGATATCTATGATTTTAGATAACAAGGCTTCTCAGTGAATAAGGATATAGCTAGTCACTCAAAAAAGGGAGGTTGTTATGACACTTTAGCTGCAGTGTGTCCTTGAGAGAAGTGGTGTTTCCTGTTAATTTTGCAGCTGGTCTTATCAGTCATTATTATCTCATCCTGACAAATGTCTGGGCAGATTTTTACCTTGTAATTTATTATAGTCATGAGTTGAGTATCCTTCTACAGATCCCCTAAATCATCATAACGTGAGGTAGAATCTTATAAAAGTGCACTGTATATAGTGCCTTCTGCATATTTTAATAATTTGATTACATTTTGTATGTGCTTTTTCCCCCTGCATATGTTGTTTTTGTGAGTAAGTATTCAAGGTTTTAAGCTTTTTTTGCTTTAGGAGTATTTAATTTGGTTCATTATACCATGATTTTTTTTTTGACAGTTGATGGAAATTGTCAAATTTAAAAGTTGAGTACTATTAAGGATTCTTATGTTTGATAATGAAGTCAAATTTGCAAAAGCAGATATAGCCAGTTAGCCATTTTTTAATATGGAAGTTGTGGAAAGAGGGCCTGTTAAAGGATGGTATAGGGGAGGGGTCAACTGTTAAGGCAAGTAATTGAAAATCATGACTGATTCCTTACCTTCCTGCCTGTTTGTTTATTCCCTTCCCCTCCTGGCTTGGATACATAGCACCCTAGTGAGTGTAGCAGTAAGGTAAAGGGGCAGTGCAGCAGTATGGGCAACACTATGCCCTAGTGCTTGAAGAAGTGGGTAGCTAGGGTGGAGGGTTGCAGAGGTGACATGTAGAAGACTCAACCAGAGGGTTACATTGGTAGGTTGGTTACTCTGAGTAAATAAATAAATATATGGAGGATAATGGGAGTTAGGTTTCTCAGTGTCTGAGAAAGGAATTAGAAACATGGAATGGGGAATGGCAAGAAAGAACCTTAAGGTGTTAGATTGGAATTGTAAGAATCAGTATGACTCATGGATCTAAATATGTATGTGATATCATTATACATGTATATCCGTATGTAAATGCATACATATATTTCCCAGGTTTGTTCACTGGGAGGGCTGAGAAACAATGACAGTTACACCCCAGTAGTAATGAGTATACTATGCACCCAGATCTTATTTTCTAAGTACCATTTTCCACTAAAAGAAAGTAGGATGTGAATAAAGTATTATCTAAATAATATTTTATCTATATAGTGTATTAGTGAGTAGTGCTATTTTATCAAAATTTTTATAAGTTTAATTCAAGGATAAAGAAACTTTTCCATTGGAAGGATGGGAGTAAAATCCTGGGCCCTATGAATTAAAAAGTAATTTAATTTAATTTTCTTCTAACCCCCAAGGTTAAATTTACCCAATTTCCAGTCAATTTAACTCAGTCAATGTTTTAAATTATTGTCAAGTCTGTATTATAGCTAGTTAAGAAGACATTTTCTGTTTCTTGGTTAATTTGGTAAGCATTCCTGAAAATTATTTTGAATGTTATTCTGAATTGTGTTCATGTATGTTGAATTCAGCTCTGTTTATGTTTAATGAAGAGATTAAGGTTATCAGGCAAAATCAGCAGCATATTAAAGGTAATAAAAGGTAGAAAAGTACTTGAGAACGTATCTCTTAAAAGTATTTTGTCTTTTGAAACGATTTGTAATGTTAATTACATATTTTGGTTAAAATAAGAAAGGAAGTTTGGATGTGCACATATATATATATAGAGAGAGAGAGGGAGAGGGAGAGGGAGAGGCAAAGAGAGAGGGAGAGAATGAGAGGGAAAAGGAGGGGGGTATTGAGGGAGAGAAGGGGTTGGAGGAGAAAGCCTTTGCTTGGTTGTTGAATTTAATAACCATGGTACTATTAAAGCTAAGATCATCAGATTGATAAAGTAGTACAAAGCGCATTGGGCTGAGAAGTCAGAAACCGTTTGATCTAATCATAATTATTCTGCTGTGTTGTTTTATGATGTTGGAAAAATCACATAACTTTTTTGGGTTTCAATATCCTCATCAGAAAAAGTGAGTGGGTGGTCTGTGAAGATGATTTTAGTTTTACGTTGTTCCATGGTCACAGTTTGAACTCCCAACCTAACTTCATTCACTATGCTCTCAAATGCACAAAGACAACACAATTTGTTGTGTGAAAAAAAAATTTTTTTTTGCCTTTGGAAAAACTTTTCAGTATATACTCTAGCTATAGGCCCTCATTAGTATTCTCTTTATATACCAACAAAGTGATTCGATTTGAGACTTCATTATTTTAATATTTTCTGAATCATTCAGTTTTTATCTTTTCAAAGATTGATTTGTAAAGTGTTAACTTTCAGATTATATTGTGTTTTCCTTAATGCTATGTGTAGATTTATCTAGCAGAATTCTAGACTGCTAATTTTTCAATTTTCTGGTAGTCACTGAATCTCAAAATCTAGTCTTATGTGTAATGTTGTTGAACAGAGTTGTTTTATTTATTGGCTCTCCATCCATCTGTCTATCTTCATTAATTCTCTTCTACCCAACCCATATCACCTCCTTACGTTTTTAAAAAGCCATCTGCCAAATGATACTTTAGTATGAAACATCTGTCTTCTTCAACTTTTGCCAAGACTAATTTCCCATTACTTTTTTTTTTTTGTCTTCTGACAAAAATTCTGCCTTCTGAAAAGTGAGAAAACTTAGCTGGTATTTAAGAAGGCCGGTACCTTTGAACTAGTACAGTGCAAGAAAATTCAAAGGTTTGCTATAGTAGTACTTAAGTCCACTAGGCATGGTTAGATCTTAAGTTTTTCAAAACACTGTTTATAAACACAGAAATTATATTTTCTCCCCTTCTATAGACAAAAGTAGCTTTTCCCACATTCACAAAATGAAATAACGACAGACTTGTGCACTAAGTTTTAGAAGACACTTCCTCTCATTTAGCAGCACAGTGTCCTGGGTCCAGGATATTTTCTGGAGTTTGTCTCTTCAGAGAAGAACTATCCTTTTGTCTTTGGCTGTTTCACAGACAATGTTTTATTTCATGAAGGTTAATTGGTACATAAATTGAAAATTATAATGAACATTTTTAATGAATGTTCCAGTTTTAGCCTAAATAGTATATGTAACATTATAATAATCTTTCTATTTACTAATCATTTTTAAAATTTATATTTCAATTCACTCCATTTTAGATTTTATAGTTAGACATACACATCTATATAATAGTGTATTTTATATATATAGTTCAGGTTCATTTCCATTCAGGGGGTTAGAAATCTGTTATTTATAGGGATGCCTGGGTGGCTCATTCGTTTAAGCATCTGACTTCTGCTCAGGTCAGGATCTCATGGTTAATGGGTTCAGCCCCACACTTGGCTCTGCGCTGACAGTTCAGAGCCTGGAGCCTACTTTGGATTCTGTGTCTCCCTCTTTCTCTGCCCTCCCCCGCTCACACTCTGTCTCTCTCAAAAATGAATAAACATATTTAAAAAACTTAAAAAAAAAGAAATCTGTTGTTTATTTGACCGTTACTCCCTTTTATATAAATTCCCCTAGTGTAAGGTTACTCTTGATCAAATAACGGAAATGGAATGTTGCCTGGAGATCTTTTGTTACTTGCTTTTGAAATATTGAAGAATGCCCTAATCTCCTCTTTATGTAAGCAATTGCAGTGAAACTTTCTTTTTTTACTCTGGAGAATGGTGGAAGGTTTCCAGACAGTTCATATTTACTTACTGTTCTGGTAAACAAAACTATCTTATTGAATTAAAAAAAGAATCTATTCATTTATATATCTTAAGATGTAATGTGACCTATTTTTAAAGAATCTACTGAAGTGTAAATAGTGGCAGTGTTTATTCTCATTTTGTTCATCTATACTAAATCCCTTCAGCGGAGGTTTGAGTATGAGGCCTTGTGCTGAGTGCTGTGGATGGAGAGATAATAAGATAGTTTTTGCCCTTAAGGAACTCATGGTAAAGTAAAAATGAATCATATATCCTTAGTACAAACATTTATGCTGTTTAATTTTCAGTGTGTGTTTATGCACATGTACATGTATATGCACTAATCATAACTTTTAAATTATTAAATACTAGGAGATGGGACAAATAAGAAATAGTATATACCGTGGAATGACTATTAGCAATATCCTGAGACACTGTATCTACTGCAAGATTAATATTTGTTGACTGATTAATTGAGGTAATTTGCATGAGAAAAAATAATGACTTGGAGACAGATATTAAGGAAGAGGTATACTCTAGAAGGGTAGGTTTTTGTCATTTGTTATAATGAAGTGTTTTGTTTTTGTTTTGTTTTGTTTTTTTCAGATTTCCCTAGTACTTTTACCCCAAACCGTCTGATACTGGAGTTTGATCTCTTCCCATTCCTCTCTGGTCATGGTGTCCTTTCTGAATGGGTGGTACTGGCAAGCTGTAATTAGTGGCCCATATTTTATTTTATTTTTATTTTATTTTTTTAATGTTTTTATTTATTTTTGAGACAGAGAGAGACAGAGCGTGAGCAGGGGAGGGGCAGAGAGAGAGGGAGACACAGGATCCCAAGCAGGCTCCAGGATCTGAGCTGTCAGCACAGAGCCCGACGCGGGGCTCGAACCCACGGACTGCGAGATCACGACCTGAGCCGAAGTCGGATGCTTAACTGACTGAGCCACCCAGGCGCCCCTAGTTATCCATATTTTAAATGGCATTAGGAAAATTAGTTTGCTGGTAGTATGGCTATCTTTTTCACCAGTTCTGAGAAGAAAATTTGCCCCCAACTCTGTTAATTGAACAGCCTTATCTAAGTTAACAGTCACCATATGTAACTCAGGAGTTACTTTGGTAACTGTGATAATCTGTGGCTTTAAGGTTTGAAACATTAGATCCATATACAACGTGTTTATTAAGAGGTAGGATCAATACCACTAATGAGATTTTGAATTTATATGATACTACAAAACATATATCTCTAGCTTTACATATGTTTTGTATTCTCATTTCTAACCCCAAACTGTTCAATCAAAGATGAAGTGTTAATGTTAATTTTTATCCTTGTTGATGACAAGAAAATTAAATATGTTTTTTGTTGAGATATATTTCACATAACATAAAATTCATTGTTTTAGGCTGAAAATATAGTGGTTTTTAGTATAGTCACAATGTTATGCAACTAACACCAGCATCTAATTCCACCACCCCAAAAGGAAATTCCATACCTGTCAGTCACTCCAAATCTCCCCCACCCCCCAACCTCTGGTAACAAGTAATGTACTTTCTATTTATGGATTTGCCTATTATAAAAATAAATTTTTTTTTAATTTGTTTAGACACTACCAGAAACATCTTTATCAAATTATGCCACAAATTTGAAAGACAAGAGTTCTTTAGTTTCATCTCTGTATAAAGTTATCCAGGAGCCACAAAGTGAGGTAAGTACTCTTATAGTTTATTGTGCTTGTAGTATTCAATTGATTGATTTTTAATTTTTTATTGTGAAATATCACATATATATAAAAGAATTAGAAAAAGTATATGTTTAAATAACTTTAATATATATTATGGATTGTTTATCTGATTACATTTGGGAAGTGGTGTAGAGGGGATGAGAGTAGAATACGGTATTTTCAAAAAAATGGTTGAATAATAAAAAAAAAAGAACTATAATAAAATGAACTTCACTGTACCATCCCCTAGGCCAAGAAGTAGATTATTACTATATTCTAAAAGCCATCTCTGAATATGTTCCTCCTCTTCTTTCTATCTATCTATCTATCTATCTATCTATCTATCTATCTATCTATCTTGCTAGAGGTAGCCTAGAAAGTCAGCGTCATTATATGTCTTTGTTCATTCAGCAAATATTTGTATGCTCACTATAAACCAGCTTTAATGTTAGGCAATAGAAAATCAAAGAGTAGTAACACATGGTCTTTATCTTGAAAGAGGAAAAGGAGAGAAAATAAGTAAATACATGCTTTCAAGGGAATGCTTAGATGCATATGCATAAGTTTTCCAGATATGTAATGTGAAAGGACATTCTAAGCTGTTGGAATAGTATATGGAGGGCTGAGAAAATGCAAAACACTCAAGGAATGGCAAGCAGTTTTGTCTGGCTGATGTTTCTCTGTGCTTTCTTCTTTTCTCTTGCCCCCACCCAACGCCCCCATTTCCTTCTCTTTTTTTAGAAAGAAAATTTAGCTTGAAGGTGGTAAAATGATTTATACTTCAGATTCTAGTGCTTGTAAATCCCACCATTCATAATAGAATAGAAAAGGATTGGAAGTAGTGTGGACAATAAAAGGCATGGCATTTGGAAAATAGCAAATAGGCTAATGCAATAGTAAACAAGAGAATAAGACTGGTGGTACTGAACTGAAGCTGGAAAGATTGGTTTAGGTCGTAACCATGGTGAGCCTTGAACTCCATCATAAGCAATTTAGACTTTTGTACTGAAGGTATGACTTGATCAGATTATTGTTTCAGGAAGGTGGCTATGTGGAGGATAGATAGGAGAATGGAAAAATTGAAAGCAAGACTAGGGTACTAGGATAATAGCCTAGGAGGAAGCTATTGAGAACGGAAAGAGGTGGAATAGAGGAGAGGGATACGAGGAATGTAATTCTTTTTGTACACAAGTTTGGTAGATGACATGGCAGCTCTGACACCACTAGTCTTATTACTTGATGGTAAAATAACTTATACCCTGGAGTCCAGTCCTATGTGGATCTATGTGCCTTTTGGATTAACCTTCCAAAACTAGAGCCTGTTGTTATTTGAGTAGTTAACCTCTTCAGGAAGGAGGTCTGGAAAACCCAGCTTCTACTGATTATGCTATAAAGTGCATCACGACTGTTATGTGCAAAAGACAAGACTAGGGGTGAAATTGACAAACCCCAAACTTGTCCTGGAAAAACTGAATAGAATAATCACATTTTGCTTGTTCTTTCCTTTTCGCCAAAGCTCTTTAATTTGTATAACATGTATAGGTAGCTTGTTTTCTTGAAGGGTTTTAGTTTTCAAAGTATTTCGGTGGATGCTATTTTAAGGTTTTCCATGTGTAAGAATTATTTCACCAAACAGAGTAAGTATAGGTATAGCTTTATTATTTTTTTAATAAATGAAATCTTGTTTCTAATTTACTGCTTTATATTTTGAAATTACCCTGTGATGAATGTTGATTTAACCAGGCTATGTTGGATATAGTTTGTAAGGTAAATTTCTGATAGACTAGTTTGCTTCATAGCATTTCTTTTATTCAAAGTAAATACAACTCTTATGGTTCAGAGCAGTATTTGTGGTGAAGGACCAGTTTTTAAAAAAATTTCAGTCTGTTGCAGACTAATAAGTGTACCTAGTGCACATGATTAACATGAAACTCACATCATATGTGAGGTACCACATAAACTTGATAACCCCTAACTGATCTATACTATATCCTGTTAAGTAAGTTTGCTGATCACCAACTTGGATGGTGAAGCAATATCAAGTTGCTATAAAAGTCTCTTAATGTTTCCTCTCAATTTCTGTATTTACATTGTTTCCTCTCAATTACTGATAACATTTGTGGCTGGTCTTCAGTCCATGGGCCATGCTTTTAGAATCACTAATTTAGGAGATTTTGCATTTAAGTTTGTTTTATGTTTTTAGCCAGATTTATGTGGTGAAGATAGTGTGTATTCTGTATTCTTAAAACCCAACTCAATCTTAAAAAAATATATTTAGAAGGGCTTCTAAAATATAACAGTGTAATCTATTTGAACATCATAACCCTCCTTTTTCTCTTTAGAATATTTTGTATCCTAATTTGGAAATAGTCCCAAAATGTTGATATCATTCATTGTCTTTTGGCATTTTTGAAATTTGGAACATTGGTTTGGGTGTTATTTGAAGTTTAGCAAATTTGGTATTTGGATTTTAGTAATAGTACTTTTTCATTATTTAGTTTAATTCTTTAAGTATTTTTTGAACCCATAAATGTTCCAGAAATCACTTAGAAATGTAGCAGTGAACAAAATGGACTAAATTCTTTTTTTTAAGTTTATTTATTTTGAGAGAGAGAGAGAGAGAGAGAGAGAGAGAGAGAGAGAGAGAACACATGCGTAAGTGGGGGAGGGGCAGAGAGAGAGAGGGAGAGAGAGAATCCCAAACAGACCTTGCACTGTCAGCTCAGAGTCCAACGCAGGGCAGGGCCCATTCCCCTGCAATGTGAGATCATGACCTGAGCTGAGATCAAGAGTCCTACGCTTAACCAACTAACTAAGCCACCCAGGTGCCCCAAAATAGACTAAGTTCTTGACCTTCTGCATAAGAACTTTTAGGTGAGATAGACGTTATACAAATACCTAAATGTATAATACAGTGTCAATTAGTGATAAAATTATGAAGATAAAGTGGAGTAGGTAAAGTATGTGTTGAGACTCAGGAGCTCTTGGTTGAATCAGGTCTGAATGAATTAGGGGGAGAACATAAAAACTAGGGGCAAGAATTTTCCAGGAGAGGGAATAGTAAATGCAAAGACCCTGAGATAGGAATATGTGTTATATTCAAGAAATTGTAGAAGCAGTTTATGGGTACAATGCAGTTTGCTTGACTGGTGTATGTATCTATCTAATCTATCTATTTCTTTAAAGTGGGCTTGAACTCAGCAACACTGAGATCAAGACCTGAGCTGAGATCAAGAGTCAGACACTTAACCGACTGAGCCACCCAGGAGCCCCTTGACTGATCCTTTTAATTGCTGTAACTTTAAGAAAGGCATAGGGGCGCCTGGTTGGCTCCATCGGTTAAGCGTCCGACTTCAACTCAGGTCACTATCTCACGGTCCGGGTCCATGAGTTTGAGCCCCGCGTCGGGCTCTGGGCTGAGGGCTCAGAGCCTGGAGCCTGCTTCAGATTCTGTGTTTCCCTCTCTCTCTGCCTCTCCCCTGTTCATGCTCTGTCTCTCTCTGTCTCAAAAATAAATAAACGTTAAAAAAAAAAAAAAAAAGAAAGGCATATGATTAGAGGCTAACAGAGCTCAAGTCTGTTATGAAGCCAGCTGTTTTTTGAAAGAGTCACATAAAGTCTGGTGTTCTAGGCATAGGGAGCCCAGAGTATGGAGAGATCAGTTCAGTGGCTATTGGCACCTGAATAGTGGTGTCCTTCCAACTTCTATATTTTTTCCTACCTATGTGCCTCATTAATAGTTCAATGTAAAAAATGTACAAGATTTTCTTGTAAATATACCCAAACTTAACTCTTTCCTAACTTCTATCCCTGCTTTAGTCATTCAAAGGCATTTTTTTTTCGTATTTAAAATAAATGTTTACTTATTTTGAGAGAGAGGGAGGGGGAGCACAGGCATGAGCGGAGGAGGGGCAGAGGGAGAGAGAGGGAAAGAGAGAGAGAGGGAGAGAGGGAGAGAGAGAGAGAGAGAGAGAGAGTCCCAAGCAGACTGTGCTGTGAGCTCAGAACCCAATGTGGGGCTCAGTCCCATGAACTGTGAGATCATGACCTGAGCTGAAATCAAGAGTCAGATGCTTAACCTACTGAGCCACCCAGAGGCATTTTTATGTCACATTTCTATTACCATTAGAGGGACTCCTGGGTGGTTCAGTCAGTTAAGCATATGACTCTTGATCTCAGCTCAGGTCTTGATCTCAGGGTCAAGAGTTCAAGCCCCGTGTTAGGGCTCCACACTGGGTGTGGAACCTACAAAGAAAGAAAGAAGGAAAGAAAGAAAGAAAGAAAGAAAGAAAGAAAGAAAGAAAGAAAGAAAAAGAAGGGAGGGAGGGAGGGAGGGAGGAGGGAGGAAGAAAGAAAGAAAGAAAGAAAGAAAGAAAGAAAGAAAGAAAGAAAG